TTTTTCAGTTTTTCGCTTAAACCTCGAAAACGGTCCATATTTAATGAATAACACTTACTTATGTAGTGAATTAAAGAAAACAAAATTCGGCGGCGATCAAAAGATGAACAAAAAAAATCGGTCCAATAGAAAAAAATTTACAAGCGATCAAAGAACACCGATTTTTTCCAACCTTTCTAAAAAAACTGAGTCAACCTTTTTTTAATGCGTTGTGGCTCCTTGCTTGTTTGCTTGTTCATTTTTTCACTTTTGATCGCCGCAGGATTGTGTTTTCTTTAATATACTTACTAAAGAAGTGTTATCCATATAAGGTATAGACCGTTTTCGAGTTTTAAGCGAAAAACTGAAAAAAATCCGAACATTTTGAAGTTTTTTGGCTGTCAAAAGTTGTGCCAGGAGAAAATGGGTGTGTACTGTTCAAATACATGTTATTTGGACCCAAATGGACCATTTAAAACGATAAAATCGTTTACACCACCTTTTGCAGGAATCGGCCCTTCTGAGTGCTCGGGCCGTAGCCAGATTAGTTACTAAGAGCGGGCAGGAAAAATATTAATAATTTGCTGTGTTCTGCCGAAGGAATTCATTTTTAGCGCAATCCACGAAAGTGGAGCGCTTATGACTTCACATTTCCGCACGTCTGCGTGTCGTTCCGTACTATAGCTCAGTCGCTAAACCTCGTATTGACTATCAAAAATGAACTTTGGCATTCATCATGTGTTATAGCCCTAAATTGGTCAAAATTATTATTTATGTACCAATTTTGTTGAGAAAACGATCAAGCTATTTTGCTCGATGACCAAGAAATGATACATATCTATTTTTGGCGACCAAAATATTTTTATCTAAAGGATGTCAAAATTGTTATTTATGCATCGATTCTCTTGGGAAATTCAATTGCGCAATGCCCAAGAAGTGGTCCATGTGTATTTTTGTTCACAAAAAATGTCAAAATCGTTATTTATGTACCGATTTTCTTGGGAAGAAGTCGACTTCTAGTTTTCATCAATACAGATAAATAACCGTATGAAACTTGGTCACTAAGAAAGGAATTTTACTATTACAAACATTAGTTACGGGGGTGTCGAGCTAAATATAGCCCAGTGCGCTAAAAACATAGCCCGAGGATATCTTTGCCCGAGGTCTGACTGTTGTACAGATTATTGAGAATGAAGTAAACATGCGATGCCTTCTTTACCTTTAATTTTACTACTGAATAAAGACTGAACTTTATTCAATAGCTGGCATAATAATAATAATAAATTAATTATTTTAGCACCTGAGTAAGTAGCGTTTTTTCATGTTAGGAACAGTTTTGGTTTATAATGCGCTTCATAACATCAACATGACAATCGTTATCATTATATAAAAAATAATCGCGTACAAGAACCTGCAAAACAAGCGTGTCGCTAAAAAATCATTCCAAAATATAGATCCATAGGTAATGATATTTGTCCCTTTGATAGTTTATAAATTCGAGGATAAATTACCACGGCAGTCGGCACGAGTGTTCAAATATGCTCATTCGTGTAGACGGCGAGTGGAATTTCATTTTTACAACCGGTATAAAGAGGTATAATTTGCTATCAGTATTCGAGTGCAGCTATCAGCTTTCAAGATAAATTTATTCAATGTTATCTTTTATGAAGCGCCAAAAGCGGCATCTAGTTTTGTATAACCATGGTATAACCCAAATATTTTACATTTTACTTCGCAACTGCCATCTGTATATGTATAGTAAAATTTTAATGTTTAGGGTAATTTTCCACGCTTAGCAAGAGAACACGAGGGATCGGGACGCGGGTCTTAACACTTTCTCCATAACCTGACAACACTGGTGTAATGCCAGTGACGCTTTTAAGTGGTTGTTGTCCATTCCTTTACAAACATGCCTTACCTGTTGTTATTCCGTTTTGGCGCAGCAACCTCCATTGAAAAAGCCTATAACGTAGAGCATCATTCGTAGTTCACCGACCAAGGTTTGTCAAACTAAATACCCACTTGCTTGGTTTAAGTACATTTGAAATCAGGAGTGAGTGGCCCTGCGCCAATAATTTTTAACTCAATTTTAGACATATAACTCTCGCCAGGAAAGATTGCGGGTCACAGCACACCTTGTGTCGATCTACAATCTAAGTTTCTCTTAAGATGCGAGCGACTTCCGGAATAGGATCGTGCCAATGTTAAACGAAAAGTCTTTTTGTTCAACGTTGACACGATACTATCCCGGAAGTCGCTCACATCTTTAGAAAAACATAGATTGTAGACCGGGATCAAGTGTTCTGTGACCGGCAATCTTACCTGGCGAGAGGTTTACATACGCTAAACGCTGTAACATTTATCAAGTGTGCGAAATCGCTAAAAAACTTCTTGAATCACAAATCAACGACGCAGGGCCTTCTCAAACGAAGGGGGTCAGGTGCAGCGAATTGCGTATTCTTGAAAACAATCGCGGTGCCAATAATGACAGTACAACTATCCCATAAAATACTCATAACCATTGTACCTTTAATGAAGAAATACCCTGCATAGGAAGGAGTTAATCCACTCACTTGAAATGGCCATGGCTTAAGGAGCCAAAATCCATGCATTACGATCCATGATCGACTGTATTCACTTGGACTGTACAGGTCAAATTCAAAAGAATCGCCGATATAGGTGAAGATCGCTCCTGCGTGTCAAAAGTTATAGGTAAAAACCGTATTGCAATGAAAAAACACACAGAACACGCAATAAATTTTGCTACACCAATCCAGTGATTTATTTAAAATTAATAGAGTTCCCACAAATTCAACTGGCAGTCAACTTGTTACAAAATTATGTTATGTAGAAAAGAATAATACTTATACGGCAACGGTTGAAAATTAAATTGGCTCAAACTTCGAATATCAAAATCGTATTCACCACAATTCAATTAAATCCTCCACAATGCGAGATAAGTGCGTAGACTTGATCTCAAAATTACTTCTAGGATCACACCAGATCTGGTTAATCGCCATAAGATAATAACAATAATTCAAAATCTTGCATTTACACCGTCATTGAATTATTTGCTTTTACTTTAAAAAGATGCAACCAACAATTGCTAGCATGAGGACGGAAAGGAATGAAAAAGTAAACTAACATACGCATTCCAACTCGCCTTAAGAATGTACCAGTAAGAATTTCCCACGAATTAAATAAGAAACTAAATGACTTTTAAAGTATCTCGAACCTTTCTAGGAATTTTGAACTAATTTTGGTTTTTTGAAATACTCGCTAGGAAAATTCCCCTAGAAAATAACTAAAATGTGCACATCATGGTCGCGCCCACCCACCAACTTAGAATTTAAGATGGACTGCTGATTAAACAGTTGCATAGAGGTAGAAAAATCACCCTAGCATGGACGCGGCCATGTGCACGTTTTAGTTATTTTCTAGGGGAATGTTCCTAGTGCTCAAGTTTTGAGACTATTGCAGCCTTGGAAAATGACATGTGTCACAGTAATTTATTTAGAAAACGTGAAGTTTAATGCTTGTTTATTCGTTGATTTGAATTTCGCGCCAAGTGAGTGCACATCATGGCTGCCCCCATGTAGGTGTCATTTGTCAATTCAGCATTCGCAGTCCATCTTAATTTATAAGTTCGTGTTTCTACCTCTATCAACTGTTTGATCAGCCTGCAGTCCACCTTAATTTATAAGTTCGTGCTTTTTTGTGACTTAAATAATAAACACTTTTTTTAGCTTAGTAGGCGTTGACAAAATGTCAAAATAATCCATTGATCGTTCCTTTAAATGGCATAATAAAGAATCATATTGTGCCATACACCATTGTTCGTAATAAAAAATGCTACTCAATAGGTACATACAGTATGTACTTTTTTCCGCCTCATATAAAAATATGAAGTTGATGATAGTTTCTCAAAGACGAAACGTCGCAGTGAAAATCTGTGGACACCACCCTGTAGAACTTAAAAAGTGCCTATGAGGAAGTGTTATTGTTTTTTATCTTCTCAAACAGGGTCACATATAATAAAAACAAATATGGTTAATTTCGGTTTTTATCTTCGGGACCGATCGGAATTTCCGAATTTTTTAAACATAATTTTACTGAGCCCTAAACTAAAATAGGTCCCTTATGGTTATGGTTTCCGATTTCTCCATGCTGCTCATTCAGATTTTGGACACATTGTATAGCACTTTTAGACTGCAACTGAAACCGTAAATTAAAACTATTTACCAAATTCTGTGTTCGAAATATTTTTTTGTACTGTGTGCCCTATTTTAGCTGGTATTGCAGTGTATCTCAGCTGTTTTTAAAGATAGAGACTTGCGGTTTTCGCGACCCTTCTTTGTAAAACTTTTAATACCACAAACCGAATCAATCTAGCTACGTTTGTTACTGAAATACCGGGTGAAATCGAAAAGTTTGACTTTTGGGATGTTATCATATCTTACTACCCATGTGAGACATCAGAAAAAAGGTAAAAACTGCCGATTTTAGATATTTTTATGTAGAATCAAAAAAAACATTTTTTGAACACCGTTTCTGAGATTAGTCCTAAAGTTGGTATTGTTAAATGTCCTAAAGTTGGTATTGTTAAATGCAACACGCTGTATATCTTAACGTCAATTTTTTTGAATTATTTTTCCTGATTGCATTGATGCATCGCAACCTACACTTAAATTTTAGCCAGGTCTATTGAGGACTATACTGCATTCGCAACTCCAGATGCGGTATGGGGTCTTATGAATCTAATCTTACTAATTTCGATAACGCTATCCTTGTTGCTCATCGCAATGATGCCAAACTGACAAATGATTGAATTGAAGCATTAAAGCAAAACATTAATCTCCTTGTGCTGTAATTGTCACGTTTTGTTAATAAATTTGGCAAGCATGTACTGCGTGTCCATAAGCACCATAAATGCATCTGGAGCACTATAGCATATATGAAAGTACCTAAAGCTATTTGGTTCGCGCCAACTTTACTACATTAAAGTTCTGCTTTGGTTTCAGGCGAAATCGTCACCAAAGACGTCCTGGACCGTGAGGCAAAAGACGCTTATGACCTGGTGGCGGAAGCTAGAGACCAAGGTTCTCCGTCCCGAAGTTCCCGAGTCCCGCTCAAAATCAAAGTTTTGGACGTGAACGATAACGCTCCGGAAATTGTCGATCCTCAGGAGGATGTTGTCAGCGTGCGTGAGGAGCAACCTCCGAACACTGAAGTTGTTCGGGTACGCGCGGTGGATTTAGACGACGGTAACAATTCCTCGGTTACGTACTCGATTTTGAAGAGCCGCGATTCGGATGGTTACGGTGTCTTTAGCATCGATCCTATTACTGGAATAATCCGAACGAAAATGGTATTGGATCATGAAGAGAAGACAATTTATAGTCTCGCAATCGCAGCCACTGACAATGGATTTCCTCCAAAACAGACGACCAGAATCTTACGCGTTGAAATTTTAGATCTGAATGATAACCGACCCACTTTCACGAGCTCCAGCCTAATCTTCAAAGTGAGAGAAGACGTCCCAGTTGGACACATTGTGGGTACGGTTGCAAGTAGCGACGTATCCGATCGTGCAAATACCATTCCTGGAAGCAGCGGAGGCCACGTTATGTATACTTTAACATCACTCACTTCTGATCAAACTACTGATGCTTTTGATATTGACCGAAGCATTGGTTCATTAATTGTGGCTAGAGAATTAGATCGCGAACGTCAATCTGAATATCGATTAGAAGTTCGTGCTTTGGATACAAGTGCCATCAATAACCCACAGAGCAGCGCAGTGACAGTTCGATTGGATATAATCGACGTCAATGACAATCCTCCACAATGGCCTCAGGATCCCATCACAATATTAATCGCAGAAGATGCGGAAGTGGGAACGACAGTTTATAACTTCACCGCTACCGACAAGGATTTTAAAACTAACGGCGAATTACGCTACTCCTTGCTAAATCGGCGGTCAGATTCCAAGCTATTCAACATCGACTCCCTAACTGGAGCGCTAATCCTGGCCGCTCCTTTGGACTACGAACTTGTCACCGAATATACAATTGTTGTACGAGCGACGGATCAATGTGTTAACGTCTCCGAGAGGTTGAGCACTACAGTGACGGCTCGAATTATAGTGACTGACGCAAACGACAATTCCCCAAGCTTCGTCTTGCCAACGTCCTCTAATGTTGTGGTCAGCGATTCCGTTACCCTCGGCGAGGTCGTCACTCGGATCCTCGCGGTCGACAAGGATAATGGCGACAATGGACGAGTAACTTACATAATCGCCGGCGGCAACGAGGACAATAAATTCGCATTAGGCTACGACACAGGGGTGCTAACCTTGGCGAAACCATTCACGTTTACCGACTCAATCAAGACGTTCACGCTGAACGTAACCGCAAGTGACCACGGCACGCCCACGAGACAAGCAAACACCGTACTTAAACTGGCGATCCAAGGATCGATCCACAATCCGCCTCGGTTCCTCAACTCTGAGTACCACGCCAAAATCTCCGAGAAGGCCGCCTTGGGAAGCTACGTAACGAAAGTCGCGGCGAAATCTGGCCTTCTCGAGGGAACCGGAAATTTAACGTACTACATTCCTTCAGGAATCGCCGATGATGCGTTCGCAATCGATGCAATAACCGGCGTCGTAACCACCACAGCGATTTTGGACCATGAAGCGCGGGATCATTATAGTGTTCCGGTCTACGTAACGGACTCTTCCAAGGGTGACCACAAGGGTCCGGCCAAAACTCAATTTGATGTTACAATACTTTCGGTTTATGTCACTGATGAGAATGATCACGCGCCTTCCTTTCACTCGGGGTCGTGCTCGTCACTATCCATTCCGGAAAATAACGACCTTGCGGTTATCCATACAGTTGTCGCAATGGACTTGGATTCGGGGAATAATGGAGAAATCACTTACAGCATTACAGGTAAGAACGCATTGAGTTGAGGGCAAAAAGTATTCAATTTTTCTAGGTGGCAACCCAGGAAATAAATTCAGCATCGATATGCACACCGGGGAGCTAACGGCGCGATCCCTCGACAGGGAATCGCATTCCAGATATCACCTCGCAATCACCGCCCAAGATCATGGCAATCCCCCTCTTCAAGGGATATGCAACATTACGGTCCGCGTCGAAGATCAAAATGACAATGATCCGAAATTCGACAGCCTAAAATACGCGGCGACCATTCTGGAGGACGTTCCCGTTGAAACCTCGATACTGCAGGTGCACGCTTCGGATGCCGATATTGGTGTAAATGCCAAAATCATTTACTCGTTGGCTAACGAAAGTCAGTGGTTATTTCGGATTGATAATAAAACTGGGATTATCACTACGACTGGGTATGTATTTTCCAGTTCCAATTAAAATTTTACTACAAGTTCGTAAATTCAATATTACGTTAAAATTACTTTACTTGAGCTCGACCGCGCTTTCCAGTACGAGAATTTAAAAACATGATTCGCTTTATCGAATTTTTCCAAATTATTGCAAACATTTCTGGTGTGATTTCAAGGTAGACTTAAACACAGATATAAAAGATATAAAATTTACATCTGTGGTCATATGTTTTATTAGAACTCTGCCATTCATAATTATTCTTGTTACAGATTATTTGATCGAGAAAGGCAAAGTACCTACAACTTTGTTGTTGTGGCATCTGATAGCGGAAGATACGACGCAAGATCGCAAAAGGTTCCGGTGGTGATAACCATCGGAGATGTAAACGATAATAAACCAATATTCAACCGGTATCCGTTCAGAGAAAAAGTGGTCGCCTACATCCAACCGGGTCATACAATTTTAAAAGTGTCTGCGTCAGATGCCGATCAGGGTACAAATTCGGAAATAGTTTACAGTTTGGTCAATGACGGACTTTCGAATAAATTTCGAATGAATCCCACCACGGGAATACTGAGTGCCACTCAGAGTTTGGCAAGTGAGAATGGAAAAACGGTGTATTTAAGTGTAGTGGCGACGGACAAGGGAAATCCTCCTCAAAGTTCAACTGGTCTTGTTGAAATTAACGTGGGGGAACTTTCTGACAATTATCCTAGGCTGAGGTTTCAGAATGAGACTTACACTGTGAGCTTGTCGGAGAATGCTGATCAGTTTAGGGACGTGATCAAAGTGTTGGCGGTCCGAACGGATGGAAGACGTCAGAAGATTATGTACTCGTTCGGAACGGGGAATGAGGCCAATATTTTCGTTATTAATTCTGACAGTGGGATTATTCAAGTGCGCAATCCCAAGTATTTGGATTACGAGTTACGCAAAGAAATCACTTTGGTCGTGGTGGCGAGAACTGAAGGCAATCCGAATCTTCACGGGTTTTGTTCTGTCATAATTAAGCTAGTAGATCAGAATGATAATGCTCCTACCTTCAGTCAGCAAGAGTACACTGCAACGGTCTGGGAAGGAAACAGTAAAGGCACGTTTGTGTTGCAAGTGACTGCGTTTGACGCGGACGAAGATAAAAACTCGAGGGTCTTGTATCACATAGTTGACGGAAACCACGACAACGCTTTTATGATAGAACCTGCGTTTAGTGGAATTTTAAAGACGAACATTGTTCTGGATCGAGAAATTCGGGATATGTACCGATTGACAGTGATCGCTACAGATGACGGTGTGCCGCAAATGACTGGTACTGCAAGAGTGCGGATTAATATTGTCGACGTCAATGATAACCAGCCCACTTTTCCTCCTCATAGCATTATCACCGTTAGCGAAGGTATGCTTACTTAAAGACTTAATGAAGCTTAAAATTGTAATTTCTTCTTTTAGCGACGGAAGTGGGAACAACACTAACAACAGTTACGGCGAACGATGTCGACACAAATCCTCCACTTACCTATGGCTTCATACCAGAGAGTGACCGTGAGGTTTTAAAAATGTTTAGCATTGACAGATTCAGTGGAAAGGTTCACTTGATCAAACCTCTGGATTTTGAATATCGGCAGGAATACACATTGAAAATTGCGGCGTCAGATTCGGCTCACATGGCCCAGTCCACGTTGACCATCCGAATCACGGACATCAATGACAACTCCCCCATTTTCTCACAAAGTTTTTATCAAGCAACTTTACCAGGTAAAGTACCAATGTCTTACCCTAATTAGCTCCTAACTAACAAGACACTTCTCATTTTGCAGAAGGGAATATTAACAGTTTAATTGATCTACTAACCGTCAACGCAACTGATGCGGATTTTGGCGACAACGCAAGAATTCGCTACTCACTCTTCTCGCCCGTTAGCGGAATTATTATTGGAGAAAATGACGGCACGTTGAAGGTCAACTTGAGCAATGTATCAACGATTCGACAAGATCTACATTTAACAATAACAGCTACTGATCTGGGAAATCCGCCCCTTCATTCCTCGACGTCAGTCCGTATAAAAGTTAACGCGGACGCCACATTTGAACCACAGCCCCAACAGAGAAATTACAGGTAATCATCTCTCAACTACCCGGCAACCAATCTAATTTGCCTTCTGTTGTAGAATACAAATTCCCGAAGACACCCCCAAGGGAACTACAATTTTACGTCTACCCAGCTCAAACCAAAATCTCTACATTACTGAAGGGAACGATGAGGGCGTATTTGAAATCAGCAACCCATCCGGCAGCATAATTCTGGTGAATACCTTAGACCGCGAAGTACATGCCACTTACACGCTAACCTTACACACCGGAGTCATATCGAAGATGAATAACACCGGGATTGAAGTGTATCTCACCATCGATGACGTTAACGACAACGCGCCAGTGTTCAAACAGACAGACCTGGAGATTAACATCGGGGAAGGAACCGTGATCGGCACAAATATAATTCAATTTGTAGCCACCGACGCTGATTTACCAGGAAGTGACAATTCAAGAATAATATTTGACATCACCTCAGGAAACGACTACAACTTATTCGATCTCGAACTGAACACAGGAATTTTGAGGGTCAACAACACCCTTGACTATGACCGAGGAATTACCGATCACAATTTCGTGATCCGGGCATGTGACTGCGGCTCGATGCCTATTTGCACGTTAAACAATTTCCGCATATCTCTTACCGATGAAAATGACAATTCGCCACAATTCCCAGTCCTTGAGTATCTGGAGTTCATCGCGGAAAATGAGCCGATCGGTACCGCGATTTTCACGGCGCACGCGACGGACTTCGACAAAGGAGTCTTCGGGACGCTAAACTACTCGATCGTTGGTATATCTTCGAGCGCGAAATATTCCGGAACGGATGAGACCTCGAAATTGTTCCACGTGGATTCGAACACCGGTTTGGTGACCACAAACTCCGTGTTTGACTACGAGCAAAAGAGCCGGTACATATTCACGCTGAAAGCTGCCGATATCGGTGATAAATCGGCGACTGTCAAGGTGAGGATTGAAATAGAAAGTCGCGATGAATTCCATCCTCAATTCACGGAACGTACATATCGCTTCGTTTTGGCAACACCGCCTTCAGGAAGCCTACCCGCCGGGTACGTTGCCGGGCATGTCACCGCCACAGACCGAGACAAAGGCCCCGATGGCAGAGTCGTATATCAACTAACCACCCAACACCAATACTTTCGCATAAACAGGACCACGGGAGCGATATTGATAAAGAAGAAATTTAACAACGCCGAAGCTTTAGAGGCGGGCAAGGACATAAGTTTGGTGGTCACCGCCAGTTCGGGAAGGCAGGGGTCACTAACTAATATGACAGTCGTTGAGATCACGCTAGACCCCCTAGCAGATCCTGGCACAAACCTAGCCATAAACACGACCGTGGCCGCGGCCAACGGAGGGATAGCAGATTGGGCGCTGGGACTACTAATCGCCTTCTTACTGCTGCTGATAACCTTCGGTGCGGTCTTCGTTTTTTTACACATGCGCAACAAGCGCAATAAAAAAGTGAACAAGCCTAGTCTGAGCAGCGAGACGGTCGCGTCCTCCAACAATTACGTCGATCCAAGCGCCTTCGACACGATACCGATTCGAGGAGGGGTCGTCTCCGGAAACAATCAATTCGCTCCCCCTAAGTACGACGAAATTCCCCCGTACGTCGCGGGACACGCTGCCAGTTCAAACTCGGGCGCGGCGACCACTTCTGAACTGTCAGGCTCCGAGCAGTCCGGTTCGAGCGGACGAGGCTCGGCCGAGGACGGCGAGGATGGAGACGACGAGGAAATTCGAATGATAAACGAGGGACCTTTGCAGAGGGACTCCGGGATTCATCGACAGAATGAAGATGACGATAACTTATCGGACGTTTCGGTCCATAATACTAAAGAGTATTTAGCGCGTTTAGGAATTGTAAATAGCAATAGTGCGGGTGCTCCTCAAACGGCGACGCGAATGTGCGCAGATCCGCGGACTAGTAGCAATAAGGACACTTTGCACCACCACCAAAGTGTTCCATTAGATGGACTTCACATGTTTGAGGAGCACGGTGGCGCCGAAAATGATATTACTAATTTAATTTATGCTAAGCTAAACGATGTTGCTAGCAGCGATAGAGCTAGCTCGACGGGCGAGGGAGGTGCTGTAGCTACCACGAACTTGGGTGGCACAATGGATCATGTTATGGCTATTGGAGGCTATGGTGATGTACCGACAGTTACACATCAACCGTCGATGAACGGTTCTTTAAGTTCCATTGTTCATAGTGAAGAAGAATTAGCGGGTAGTTATAATTGGGATTATTTATTAGACTGGGGACCTCAGTATCAACCGCTTGCTCACGTATTTTCAGAGATCGCAAGACTGAAGGATGATACAGCATCCGTACAAAGTGCCACAAGTGGAAACTCTAGCATAAAGAGTAAAAGCTCAGTTGCACCTGTTAAAAATGTGCCCCCTCCGTTAATTACGAGCGTTGCGCCCAGATCGATCGCGATGCCCGTATTGAACGCACGAGGAGGTTCTAGTCATCATATCGCCAGCAGTCATAGTCAGGTTCACATGCTACCAAGATCACCGATCAATCACGATGCTTCTGGTGCGACCTTTTCGACATCAACCGCCATGTCGCCCAGCTTTTCGCCATCGTTATCACCCTTAGCGACGAAATCTCCCTCAATATCACCTCTAGTTACGCCGGGAGTGCCGACGTCACATCACGTTGTGTCGAGGCATCCGCCACAAAGTCGAAACAAAACAGTTGTCGATACGGAACTAAGAATATAGTGATCCTGAGGAACAAAGTGTCTGGCTGTGTAAATTTAATTAGTATTCCAAAAAGACTATTATTTAAATTGTTGTGAACAATCTTAAATTTGTAAATATCTGTACAACACTTTTGCTCATTAGTTTATAAGTAGTTAATTTTGTCTGCCATTTTTAGCCATTAAGACTGTAACCGTAACTGAACATAGAGAATGAATTTTTGTATAAATATTTATAGTACTATTTAATTACGTTGTGTATATGTATAAATCCTCCTCATAAAGTAAACATTTTTGTAAATTATTCCACTGTTAACCACATTATTTGTTGTAACGTACGAATTTAGCAAAGAATTCGAAAAATTGTAAATTACAAAGATAGTGCATTTTTGTACGAAAACAAAATAAAGAAAATACAAATGTGACTTTGATTTATTGATTAGAGAAATAGTGCGATTAATGGAAGTTATCAACATCACATTACTGCGTTGATTGAGTTCAAACTCCGCTAGTGCTTATAGGCAAAAGCAGTGTGATGTCTGCTGTTCATACACCTGAAAAGATGCCTAACAAATTTGCTCTAAAACCAAAAGTGTTAGTTTACTAACATCAAGTCCATACGCTCATCAAACTTCACACAATTCGATAATTTCCACATTTTTAACAGTATAATCAAAAATTATAAATTTTACTTGTCCCAAGACCATGTAATCAAAACATAAACATGAATTGGGCAAACATTTACACCAAAACGTGAATGATTGCAAACAAAAGGTTAACACGTGATACATTGAGGTTAAATCACGACAATTTCATAAAACAGACGGAAAATATAAAAACATAATGTTGCATACAAAAGACAAATTATAAAAAATGCAAAGATTAGGTACTACCACACAAATAAAAACAGCAAACGTAAACTCTTGAGATACCCCAACCTTAGCAACGTCCTGTGAATATGATTGTCGATACGAAGCACCCTATACATCATGTTAGTTACACAAACCGAAATCTGGTGGGATTACAGAAAAGGGAAAGAGAGCGAAGATGAGATGAATGGAATTTCTCGGAAGACCACGTGTTTACCATTTCAAACACCTGCAGTCCAGTTTTTTCCTAGAAATGCGTGAAATGCAGGGAATGGGCGATTTTCGGGTGGTTTTTAGGGGTGTTAACAGATCAAATGACAGAGTCGCTTGGGGTAGTCAATAAATACGATTTAACATGCGTGTTCATGGTCTTTTTCTTGTAACCAGCTCAAGTGTAACGTACGGCTTATCTTGAAATATTTTGTTATACCTTAATCATTGCTGTGCTTTTGCTTTTTATATCAGGTGAGTTATTTTCTTTATTCAATTAATCTATAAATGTGTGTAACTTGAATGCAGATTGTAACCCTTTACTATAGATTTAACCACTTGTACCTCTTAATGTGTAACCTTTGTTGGTATTGGCAATCATGTTTCATTGTCGGTAGGCCTGTATCTGTGCTGTACATACTTGCATGTGTACATATTTGTATATTGTGCTTTTTAGTCACTCTCGATTATGTCATTGCATTTCATTATATTTGCTTATTTGATGGGCTGTGAGTAATCAAGAGGGAAGTGTGCTTGTTTAGAGGGGATCGAGTTATTCAAGTTTATACGGGCCTTGGTGCACCTAACAGTAACATTTTCACTCGTTCCGAAACCCAACGACTTTAGCCCACGTCTACAGGCCCCCCACTGGGCCTGGGTAATCCTACCGCCCGGCGAGGTATATTTAATATCTCTTAGTTTTGCCTGATGTATGTGTTGTAATACCTGGGGAATGGCTTGATTCCATTTTGGTTACTCATAGCGTGTAAGTATGTAGTATTTACCCCGGTTTCGAGAAGGCTCAAAAGTGCTGTGCATTAGATGTTAACTGTAGGCTTTGTTCATTATAGGACTACTCCGAATTAGGTTTTCCTAATTCGTAAGGTAAATGCCGGAGTAGTATAGAGCCACTTAAGACCCTCTGCAGGGGCGCCGTATTGGTATTAGCTTCAATATAATCTTAATCAGCTATTGCTCTTGGTCTTCCTTACCCATAAAACACCCTCAGTGCCTGCTGAGGACCCAGTTATTACACAACGTAGGTGTCCTACACGACGATCACGATCTTAGTACACTCGGAGTGGCCCCCGAGTGACAGATTCTCGCGGGAAACGAGAATATTCAAATAGGCAGCCATGTTAGTTGGGCATTCCCGATGTTACCGAATATGGTCAAATAGTCCGGTGTAACTTGAAGTTGGCGTTAGCCCGCCAAGATAGTAGGAGGCTAAGATCATTACACTCTTAAGGTAGGTTCATAGCACTCACCTCGAGACGGCGCAAACAGCTTGCAAGCAACCAAGATTCTGAGAAAGGGTGAAATACACAGGACGTGATTCATTTTTGGTACAATACAATTCTTCTGTTAAGAGCAAGAAGTGAAGTGTTTTTATTGGCATAATTTTGCCCCCGAGATATGTAACTCGCCCCTCGTTTGGAGTTTCGAGCCTACAGTTGACTTTCGAGATCAGCCGCGGTATAGTGTCGTTTAGGTGACAATTTTTGCCACCACCGTGACCGGCGTCTCTTCGTGGTAAAAATGTTAGTTTACAAACAAGTTAATACGCAAACATACATCAAACAATTCGATAATTTGCACATGGGTAAAAGAACGAACAAAAATATAAATGTAAGTAAGTTGGGGCCAAGACCATGTAATTGAAACATAAACATTTAGCAAACATTACCCCTAAAATGAACGTGATTTCAAACAAAAGATTAACGGTACCAAGCTAACCAAGCACACGAATCTACATTGGGGGTTAAATCAAGGAAATTTAAAAATCAAACACTGAAACTCACCAAAAATATAAAATGTTGCATACAAAACATAAATGCATTATAAATAAATGCAAAGATTACTACCTGCATTAAATAACATAAAATAACAGCTGTAGGTGATTATAGAACACCCTGTACATTTAGAGTGAAGTTAGTTACGTTACGAATTAAGCTAGGTTAGGATTGGTGAGTCGGTTTGGTTTATCTTTTATGACTTTATGTTTTATGTAAACTTATGTAAAGGAGTGGAAATATATATAATCAACAATAAAGACGACTACAGCCATCAGAAGTGGGATAGTGGAAAACGTATTGTAAGTCCGGATTCTTAAAAATAAAAGGCCAAATTTAGGATGTTGGGTGATGAAAGTGGACACATGGCAAGAGGCGGTGGCGATCCAGATACATCTGTGAACGAGGAGCAAAAGCGACAGAATCGACGGTTAGGATTGGTGAGTCGGTTTGGTTTATCTTTTATGACTTTATGTTTTATGTAAACTTATGTAAAGGAGTGGTAATATATATAATCAACAATAAAGACGACTACACAGCAAACATTTACGGTGCGATGCTTTCGTAATCTCATTATAAACCAGACGGAAACCACGTTGGTGCTCTCCAGATGGCGCAGAGAGCGTTTCCCTTTCTAAAACGTTCGTGATTGCCAGCTCTCAAAAATGTGTTCATCGTCGCCGCTGTATATACAGGGTGGAACCTCTCAATGTATTTAAAACCAAAGGCAAAACCGAGCCGAGGAAAACTCCGAATCACTTGCTCACAGGGGATAAATATTGGGGGAAATCTGGAGAAAGGGAGGTAATTGGTCGAACCTCCTCCAATCCAGAATCTATTTAATTTACTTGATATGGCAACTCTTAGACTAAAGTAATATTTCGAGATGAATGCGGAGCTTTGCAACTTTGGCATTTACCTTTGCACGGGCGAGAAACAGTTAATTACGTTAAATAAGTAAGGCAGATTCGTACACCAATAAAGTTTGAAGTCGCCCATTTACCTAAATGAGTAAACATCAAATGAAATTAACAAGAGGCCAATGCTGAACAAACCTAATTGGTAGATAATTTAAAGTGAAAAAAGCAAATACACCTTAGTTACACGCAGCTGAAGGCAAAACAATTTACAATAAAGCGAAAAATTACAATCAGGGCCGGTTTTAGGCGTGGGCGAACGCCACAGGCGGCCGTCCGCAAGTGTGGCCCGCCGCGCGATGGCAAGTTACTGGTTTCCAACGTATACAGAAACGCTGCGAGTGGTTATCGACACCTGCCGACAAATTTATTACTTTGAATCAAGAAGCTGTAAAGTTAACTGAAAAACTTGGCACCGATGCAGAATTTCCCGAACAGATTGAGGTACACCAGAGACGAAGAAAAAAATAGTGTGATTATGTAGCGGAAGATGAAAATCAATTCTTGATATGGCAATAAAATCGGTAAAAGAACGCTTCGATCAGCTAACAGAATGTAATTATGTTTTTGGATTCCTCTTCAATCTGGATAGGTATGAGGGCGATGCTTTGCGAGAACAGTGCATGGCATTGGGATTATCACTGTCAGATGGTGATGACAAAGACATCAAGGGTTTAGATTTATATGACCAGATCAGGTCTATTAAGGTCCCAACTGCAGAACGAGACCCAAAAAAATTATTAGAATATATATTGTTACTCAAAATTTAGTTTCAGTGGGTCCTAATTTGTACATAGCCACTTCCGATTACTGTCGCCTTAGGTGAAAAGAGTTCTTCCTCAGTTAGCAATTATTTCCATAGAGCAGAAAATGGCACAAAAGCTTGATAAGGAAGAGCTCATTGAAGAATTTTAAAATTAAATGCGAAGAAAATAAATTTTTAAGATTATTGATATTGATGAAAAATATTACAGAACGAAATATTAAAAAAAATTGTATAGGATACCCTTTTTAGAGAGGGGGGGGGGGGGGTTTATGCCTGCCCACGGCGCAAAAAGGTGTCGAATCGGCCCTGATTACAATTAAAACTAACTACATTACATTTTGTTATTACTTTTACAGCACAAAATTGACTACAAGAAAATTGAAATTTGAAAATTAATGCTAAATATGAGTGTACCTACTTGCTGAAGCCGCTGAAGGCAAGTGCAAAAGTAACGCTACATTTTACAATGAACCTGTATCAAACTCAAACTACATCATAAGCACTATGCGGGTCACTCTGTAATTGGGCGAAAGCCTGTTGAGGTCCCAGAACAAGAGAGGAACAATAAATAAAGCAAATATAATTCAAGACAAATCTTTCATTCATGTAACAGCTGAGATGTTGTTTGCAGGAGGTTAACGTATGGTAAAAACGGTGTCTCTATTTACGCCAACGGTACTCGTAGCTTTAATTTTGAAATCGGACATCTCAACATAAAAATTATAGTGAATGTTATTATAACATTTGCTGGCATAACCACGTGCACATCCAAGTCAAGCCAAAACATGACTCATCTAACGGTAAGCACAAAACAGTGGCGACACCTGTTTTTCAACAAGTGTGGGCAACCAGTCCCCCAATGGCCCTACCTGTAATCAGGGACCCGGACCCAAATGAAATATCGGTTCGGGTTCTGATTATATTTGAGCGAAAATATTTATAACGGTTCCGGTCCGGTTTCGGTTCTTAAAAAAAATAACGGTTCGGTTCCGCACATTTTTTTCGGTCCATAACGGTTATTTTCGGTTCTACACTTTTAGAAATTACGGCATTAAAAAAATTCATTAAAACAACGTGATTTGTTAATTAATAGGTGTGAAAAAGAAGAAAAAAGTTATGAATACCAAAACGTGTCGTATCGAGTGTAGCTATTTACAACGACAAGGGGAATAAGGGAGAAAGTGGGAAATATGTTATTTCAACTTAATTTATTAATAAAATCATTAAGAACTATGTAAAAAAATGTGTATGGAGTATTGTTTGTTATTGTGAAATGCTTGTGAGCAACGTTAGTTGTTGTTCGCCCCATGATAAATAGAAAGTCACTTACATATACAAAATTTTTAATTAACGGGAAAATTTATTCTTATTTTTACCTGGAACCAATAAAACATAACCTTATAACTCATTGACCGCCAGCGCGCAGTTATAACGAGTTCGAGGGTAGTGGCTAAATTACCGCCACCGCCACCCGTATTGTCTTCAATTTCGCACACCTTGATATTCAACACCCTATTAAAAATTTATAATCCCCCGATGACAATCATACAGTAATGTTTTATCAATTTTCAGGACATGTTTGCCGGCGCGCCCTTCGACTTCAAATAACCTGTTAAGAACCGAAAAGAACCGAAAAAAATAATAACGGTTTCGGTTCTCAGTAAGTTTCCATTTCTGAAGGAATAACGGTTCCGGTTCGGTTTTCGGTCCCCCTGTAATCATTCTTTCAATGAGTGCGCAGAACGGTGTCTTGAATTTATTTTCGTTGTAAGATACGTTGCCTATCAGTAGAGGTAGCTCACCAAAAACGCCATAGTAGTGAACGACTCATGGTTATGCACAGCTATACAGTCCTATGACCAATAATGGTTCCATCTGTGTTTTATTTGATACAATAGAAATTTTACGAAATGGGAATCGGATGAACCAATGACAGTAAACATCACAAATAAAATTCTTTATATATAACATAATTATGTACATTTTTGTTTGTTGAGATACAAAAATGCATTCTTTTGATGGAGTATGCAAGTTTGATGTTAAGATAGATAATTCGGAATAATACTAACCGCAACACTCATAATGGGACGTATCTAATAAGTAATTATACTAAGTTATAAAGGCGCGATATAATGATTGAAAACATATAATAGCTTTTTTCCTGATTTTTATCATCACTCATACCTTTTTCAAGGCATAAACGAGATCACCATCTTCCACTCTAATATAACAACCAATTAACGTCTAGCATCATAAAAGTTACAGTGACTTTATAAGGACAGTGGCGACAACTTATAATAATCCGCCATATTGGAGCTAAAAAATTGATTGTAGGATCAATATACCTTGTCATGTGAAAGGTTCCACCCTGTATATACAGCTTACGACGATACATACATTTTTGAGAGTTGGCAACCATGCAATTTCTAGGTGGGAAAAAAAGTTGCCTGCGCCACCTAGAAAGCACGAACGGGAGTTACGTTTGGGATCTTGTCTCGAATGGCGGTCGTGAACGTTTCGCTCCATAAATGTTGTTGTTATTTTGTGTTATTTAATGCAGGTAGTAATTTTTGCATTTCTTTATATCGTATTTGTGTTTTGTTTGCCGCATTTTATATTTTTTGTGTGTTTCAATATTTGTTTTTGAAATTTACTTGGTTTAACCGCAATGCAATCATATGTGTGATACCGTTATGCTATTGTTTGTAATTGTTTACATTTTTGGTGTAATGTTTGCTTAATTTATGTTTATTGATGTTGATTACTTGGTCTTGTCCTTGAAGTTACATTCATGTAAGTTTTCATTTTATTTTAATATGTGGAAATTGCTGATTCGTTTAATGTATGTACTGACTTGTTGTATGTTACTAACAATTTTCTCCGTGAATGAAGCAGTCTCGGGAAGGTGGAAAAAGAAACTGTAGTCTATATTTATGTGTTAGGGCACCTAATTCCGTGCACTGTCTTCGACATCCAACTGTAGGTTCGAAACCCCGAAACCAGGGGCGGACTACCCATCTTGCAGGAGCGAGATTACGCTAATCAAAGCTCTTCAGTTTAGAATCTATGTGCGTTAAATGAGTGGCGATTCAATAATTTCCACATATCTTGTTTTTTAGTCAAATTTGCCTACAAGGCCATGTAATTTTCCATCTTGCTTTCAACAAAAGGACTTTATTGCACCAAAGATGAGTCACATCCTGTGTATTTCACCCCTTCTCAGAATCTTGGTACCTGCTTCTACCTGACCCATTGTCCCCAAAAACTTGCTTTAACCTTGAGTGTAACCAACATTGTGTATATGCATTTACTATCTTTGTTAACTACTGCTAAAACTTTTACAAAATATTTTGTTAATTAACTTTTGGACTGTTTTAATCAAACTGCAAGGTTTTTCTTACGTCGTACTCTTTTTATCCTTGGCAGTGACTTTTGCGAGAGTACGACACCTTTTGGCTTTGTTTGTTTTGTTTATATTAATGTACATCAACTAAATTTCCGGGTTTTCACAATCATAATAATTACGATCATTATTAAACAAACTTCTCACAATTTCAGTGTTTTATTTAAAATTCCTTCCCTACTGTGCTTCAGGTCAAAGCGTTGTCTACAACTAACGTAAGGAGGCCCTGCCTTAGATGTTTTATCACGTGCCACTTTTCAAATTTAAGCGGGTACTTGTTTAGTTTTAGAGGGAATAGTCATTCGGGTGGCCATTTTTTTAAAACGTTGCCGGGTTTATTTTATTTCCGTGTTCTTGTAGTGTGAAGTTAGCGTAGAACCTGGGGGTTAAGTACACTACACATGTCAAATTGTGACCATAGAATAATAAAATGTCAGTTTCATTTAAGTAAAAGATTCTCGTTCAAAACTAACGGCGCAGAAATGATCGTTTAAAGTTTTGCAGAACAACCTATGGGAAAACCACTGCCTCCCTTGTCGCGTGTTTCTCCTTCCGGGATAAAAAGTATTACTTTAGTCCCTTAAATGGAAGACAAAACACGTTGATCTAGTCCACGGAGTACAAGAGATCAATATTCCTTGTGCTTCAGCAATCATCAATGTTAAACATTAAACTAATTCAAGCGTATTTATGATCACAATTGCGTTATCCATAACCATAATTGAATTTGCTGCTAAATTTCGGATAAGCTGCTTTTCTATCTAAACTCATTAGGTATTTAGGGCTTCTGAAAAAATGGTTATATCAATTACCAGTAGTAAGGTTAGGCACAGTTTTACATCTAAATACACTTTAAGCGAATGACATACCTTATAATATCGTAAATCCAAGCTATATGCGTCGGATACGACGGAAAACGTAAAATAAAACAAATACAAGAAGCAAATTTGTAAACTAGTAATTAATAACAATTATACCACGGAGTGTACTGCGTCGTTTTGTATGCTTTCTATTGGCCAGTTTGGAATTTAGGTCCAACATGGCGACCGGAACTAACGACCAATCAAAAACGAAATACCCTGTTGTCGCCACTGTCTCTATAAAGTCACCATAATAAAAGTCAGTGAAACTGTCAGAAAATGTTAGAATGGAGCAAAGCATTTTTCAACTTGCAAAACAAAGATGTTCAACACATAACTTACGCTACAATTACTGTGAATGTTGTAGTGCTTCTATACTCCATCGTGTTATTCTCTTACGCACTACAAATTAGAGCAAGTATAGGAGTTTTCATCAATATGGTTACAGAAAAAGATGGTAACAATTTATCAAATTTTCTCGTAGTAGTCGGTCTTTTGTGTTTGCCGTCCAACCTTTTGTCTGTTTATTTACTGTATGTAGCCCTAACATCAGACATATCAAGAAATTCCCAAGTGAGCGCTCTGATGTACAGTTTGCCATTTATTATCCTGGGAACAATCTGTAGCATGTCGATAGTATGCATTATGATAATATCTCACGTCTATTCGAAACACGAAGCCCTTCACGATGGTATTATGGAAGCGATGAACAACTACAGTAGCAACTCGGAGTTCAAGATGAGCATTGACAAACTGCAATTACAGTTTGACTGTTGTGGAAGTAAACATTATAATGAGTGGTACACAATACCTTGGTACGACAGTAATTTAATTAAAAACAAGTAGGTCAGTTTACAATTATTTGGTTAGTAAAGTATTTTTTTAGAGAAAAAAATTATCAGCAAAGTACACCATTCAGTTGTTGTTCGAAACGGTCAACGTTTGTCTGCATTCATCATGGAATTGAATCAAATTCGTTACCATACCGTTACTCTCGTGATCTTAATTTTAGTATTTCTCCTTTCGGTTGTACCACAGCCATACAGCAGAAAAAGAAATCGATCGGTTGGGGAGTTATTGGACGTATACTTTTTGTAATATTGTTACAAGTAAGTGAATAACAGAATAGAGGTAGGTGGTCATCCACAGACAATGATAGGTATAGCATATCGCTCAGTAAAAAGTGTAAATGTGCTGCTACAAAGCTTTAATCTACATTGCTGAACGAGGTATAGGATTATTGGGAGAGCAAAAGTATTAAGTGTGTATTTCAAGTAATTGGTGGTCGCTTTAGAATTACAAACGTATTTTTTCAAATTTGTATTTTGTTCAGCATAGGAAAATTTACACATGTACCGCTTCACAGCGAACCTGAACAAAAATATGTTTGGCGATAACAGAAGATATTAAGAATCGTATTGCGGAAAGCGAGTATTAGACCTTGAATTATCTTACATACTTTTAATCATAATACAAAATTCATCGCAGTACTTATTTTATACTGAACAACTAGTGCGGATTTTGGATGACCACCCTGTACAGTTTGTAAAGTAATTTATGTACATATTTACAGTTCGCAGCAGCCACAGGTATTCGACGAATACGACAAACCCATTTTAAAGATGATGCCATTAGCACCAAAAGTAAAAGTTGGTTGCCCTCATTCCAGAAGGGAAAACGAAAGACGAACAAAGATGAGAAGCAATCTCTAGTAGAGGGAAACTCCACTGATACCGAATCCTATCAGACATAACTTGCGGATTACAAATACAAATATATTACTTGATTTACCAACACAACTGTTTATCTGTAGTAAGAATTCTCAACGATTCTGATGTAATTAATCTGGCAGTATGTGTAGGTATTGACGCTGTGTACAAAACACATAAGATATTGCATTCACTAATAAGAGCATGACATTTGTAGTATTCTGAACACCAATATGTTTCCTTACACACAGTTAGAATGTCTTTCTTACTTAATTGTTTATTTACTTTGTCGGGTTTTTTTGTTTTTTCTGCCTCCGGTTTATTCTCTTCAGCTTCGCAATTAATCAGACTTAACACGGCACGATAAAAAAACGTACGCAGTAAATCTAATCTGTGCGAAACATTACTCGTATGCTTACTGGAAGATGTGCTGGGGCTTCGTGACACTACATACTTTCCAAATTTCGTATTGATTAGGAGAATTCTGTAACAAACAAAATGCAAAATACGATCGAACGGGCAATTAACGTCACCCCAAGACGCCGGACTCTAACTGAATTGAGTTGGGTAAATTTCTCGGATGGCAGCGCAACGCAGTTTCGATGACCTCGAGCGCAGATTTGAAACACTGAGAGGCTGAGTATTCAATGTCTTTAATTAATGGGGTGGGACCACAGAGGCAGCAAACTTGCACGTGTGGAATTAGCATGCAGGCAACAAAACGATATGCCACCTAAAAACGATATGGTGAAATATTACATGGGCGTAGCATCAACTTACATTGGGGCATCTATAGGGTAGAAATACTGGGACATCTTTGGATGATGTCATGTTATCAACGGTAGCCAAGTAGGAAAGTAATTTGATTTCATCTGCATGTAGACTCCACCAACTTTCGGTGGCAACCGCAATTTTACCATGAATCAGAATGCAGCTGTATTCTGAGTCTACACACTCTGTATATGCTTCGAGTGCAACCTGAAGGAAGAAAATAATTGTTACGTAGTACTCTTTGGTGGTAGGTAAGAAAGCTTACTTGCAGTAGATGATTTTCACTGCATAGTATTGTCTCGGTCATAGAAATTATATCAGAGGAGTATTTATTAGTTGCTACTCCATAGTCTAAGGATTCCATAAGACGGTCAATTAACGAGTAAGACATCTTAAAATACAAGAAATGAGTAAAAGTATGGTTTGTAATATCCAGATACGTACTCGTAAATCTCTTTTTAAGCGTTCAGTATTCCTTTGCGTTTTAATCTTCTCAATGCCGACTGTGAGAACCATTGCGTTAAATGTGGAGTCTAATAATTTGTTTAACACCTGTATTGTGCAACCACTCGATATACCAATGAGAATTACGCTAAAACACAAATTTTATGTAAGCATTAAGTATTGGTAAGATTTTTCATATAGTTTCTGTCGATTTTTGAGGATCAGGCCAATACAAGCGCTTGGTAAGCGACGAAATATCACATCTGTAATAGCATTAATTCGTTACATTTGAATTTCTATTTCCGTATTTGTTTTTCCTTTTAGAAATTTTGTTAGATGCGTCATTTTCTTGTTTAAATGTTTGTAAATTATTCAATTTAGAGAAGATGTTAGAAGTGAGGCACATTTGGTCGTTTACGATAAGAAGTTTTATTATTGTTAGGCGAATACTAATTAACGCACGTGCTCTTGTGCAGACGAAATGTAGGTGTTTCGAAGAATTGTAAGTTTCATGTTGGAGAAGTGGGGACGTTTGGCGAAAATATTTTATAAAGATGTCTCATTTTCTACTCCTACTACCCTCAGGGTAGCTGATCCTTCAATCGTTTAGGTCTTTTAACCCCTTCAGGGTATTTATACATTTTTTATGGACTTGTTTTCAGTCATTGTATGCAAGTTTCTTCACCATAGGGTAATTCAAATTTGCACAATCTAACATTTTTGGGTCTGATGATTGTTTTTAGCCGAAACATGTCGCCTTTTACTTAAGATTTAGCCTCTAAATAAATTTCAGTTCTTATAGGGAAGGTTTAGTGCATTTATCCTCCGGTTTACATTTTTTTACGCTAAATTCTCACAAACAGCAAACAGTTGTAGCTGTAGTGCACAGCGAGACCTTTTGTTAAGGTTCTTTCGAGAAAATGTGCCATCTTATTCATCAAGCCAGTTTTGTTTGTCATGTAATTCTGTTTTTTTTTTTAATTTTAATTGTTGACCGCTTGCGTACGGGGTTTGTTTTGAGATAGCTGATCAGGTGATTTGTCGGTGGCGTAGTGACTGCACGCCATCGCACACAGCAATATTTATGCACGTTGGTTGTCTTTGGGTCGCTTGTTTCGCAGAGAGTTGACCTTGAGTAACGTTATGACGTTATGCTACATTCCCCTACACTACACACACGCGCTGTTGTCAGGTCGTGTGCGACTTTCACCATTCTCACACCGAAACATACAATCGCCTTATGGAAGCTTTGCGGTAAAATCTCACTAACGGTGCAATGTGTTGTTCGAAGAGGAGTACCTTAACCGTCCAGCACGATATTATGAACTTTTTGGATGAGTTTTTTTGTATTATTAACGAGCTCCTAGCGAGTTTACAATTTTGCGGTGTCTGTCCGTCCGTCCGTTAGCACGATAACTCACAAACGAATAGTGGATTCTTTATAAAATTTGTAGATCGGGTTCGTGAATTGGCAATGTAGACCAAAAAATAAAGTAGGCCCTCCGTTAGTTATAAACCTAATTGCATGAAATTCAATATGCGCATAGCTTTAGCCATATAAAACACAATTCCAAAAGTTGAACCTAATCGATCAGCATTCACAGTGCCCTTTGCGCATCTCGACCATTTACAGACCGAATTGCAAACTTTCTTATTTATGAAGGTATTTAAATGAAATTTGATACATAGCCACTTGGAATAAAAGCAAATACAATGCCCATTCCAAAATTTCGTTTTGCGCATGCGCAGTGCCAACTTTCTTATTTATGCAGGGATTTAAATGAAATTTGATACATAGGCACTTGGAATAAAAGTAAATTTAACACCAGTTTAAAAATTTGGTTTTGCGCATGCGCAGTGTGAACTTTCTTATTTATGGAGGCATTCAAATGAAATTTGATACATAGCCACTTGGAATAAAGGCAAATGTAGCGCCATTTTCCAAATTTGGTTTTGTGTAGGATGTGCAATGCCAATTTTCTTATTTATGGAAGCAATTAAATGAAATTTCATACATATACACTTTAAATAAAACAAATCTAACATCAGGTTCAAAATTTGGTTTGGCACATGCTATAGCCATACCCAGGAGCTCGTTTTCTATATTTGTTTAGTTTATTATATATACTTTTTTGTTAATAAAAATCAAAATTTTCTTATGTGAACTTTTTTATGATGTGAGTCGCAGCCATAAGGTGGAAACCTTAAAATGGCCCTTGATAATAAATAAGTTCGACATGCCTGGTGTACACCTCGGTGTACACTATCACCGTTCCATCAATAAGTTTTTGGTAACTTCACTAATTTGTTTGGAAGAGAAGTTTATAAAGCTTGTTCAAACAAATTACCCCGCACGCAAACGTTCGATAGTAAAAATTAAAAAATCTTAAAATTACTTCCAGTTTTTCTATTTAAATAATCCAAATGATCCACTCGTAAACAATTTAACGATAAACAGGGGCACTTAACCTAACACAAATGTTGACAGCTTCAGATCTTCACCTGTTCTTTACCACACAAACTTGATCACATAACTGGCATGTTGAATACGATAAGGAACACTATCAGTGGGTGCTCGAAAGACAAATCTTTTAATTTTTAACAAGAGAGTCTCAACAGAAGGCCCCACAGTGCACCAAGACTGCTAACATTACTTCAACTTGACTAACTTTTTCCGTAAAACGAACAATACGCTAAATTTCTCACCACTTTTGAACAACTTGAGTTAACTGTCTTCTGTACAAAATTATTATAATAACAACAAACTACGTCTTCAATTAATCAAGAGGGTAAACTACCCAAATGAGAATAGCGTAACGAATCGTACGCTTTGCAACCGTAGCGAATCGCCTCCATTTTTTGTTGTCTCAGAGTATTTAAGAATTACAGAATAAACTCCTTCCACCGGTATTTGCAAATAAAACGCCAATCATAATTAGATTAGATATCGCCGGCTGCGAAGAAACGCGTCCCCACTTATACCGAACATAATACGCACTTCATTAAACACCTGCATAACCTAACAGCGATAAAAAACGTCTGATAACAAAAACTCTTATCGCAAAGGACCAGAGGTTTCTTACTTACACGATTTCACGCTTTCTAATTAAACACACCAAATCCAAATAAGCAAAACGTAATTACGAACAATTCTAAAAGGAAAACAGCACTAAGCTGCAAATTCAAATAAAATACCCCTCCTCCCCAATTTGGTATAAGTAATTGAATCAATAGAAAATCCAACTAACTAAAGGTAAGTTCATAGCTCTCCGTTCATACGTTTCCGTTTGTCCGTTTGTCCGTTAGCCAATCAGAAGACAGCAAATTTTTAAATCGTACGTCGTCCGTTTACGACGGAAAAGTTGGTTGAAGTTGAACATTTACGTTTCCGTTGGTCCGTTTTTAACAAGAGTGAAGTTATGTTTGGTACGTTAACAGCGTTCGCCTACTCGTTCTTCACGGTAATATGCCAGATAGCAATGTGTTCTTACTTTCGTACCATTTTTACATACTGAAAGTCACTGACGGTACAGTACAAAATAAAGTTTAGGTTATGATTATACTTATTTGCAAATGTACAATGTGGACGGATTGCTATGAACCTTGACAAAATGTACTATCCGTTTGACGGATCAACGCAACGGATGAACGGACAGCTATGAACCCACCTTAAGGCCTTGTGTTGATTATACTAAACTAAATAAAGCAGTTCAACGTTCACATTTTCCACAGGAAAAGTAGAAACCATATTTGATATCTATATTAGCTCAATCAAAAGATTCCAATTATTTTACTAAAGTTGGATACTAATTCAGGATTTCATCAAATTAAACTTTGTCCCAAGTTCAAGTCCCAAATTTTGACAAGCTTTGTCACTTCATCCACTCCATGGTAGAGAGTCTCAGAGTCCCATTTGGAATGAAGTGACAGTTGGGCGGCGCTGTGGCCCTGTCAGCGCTTGACTGCAGGCGATCCTTAAATAAATTAGGTGGGTCTAATAGACTAAGCTAGATCGAGTGCCAGCGCACTGTGGAATTGGGAGCAACCAGTTAGCTCGTTAAGGCAGTACAGGGGTCTTAGTCAGGCCCGAGCGTGTCCTAGGAATTGTCCCCTCCGCAGTCAGGGCTAGGATTAAATACAGCGGGACCAGTCTAAGGCCTTTTTAAAAAAGCCTCTAGGTAAATCTGTCTATGACCTGCACAACATTGGGCTTGAAAAAGAACTCGTATGTGGTCTGTCACTGTAACACCTTACAACAATTTTCAGTGGTCAATTCCCTCGTCAATTCCTCATGAAAAACATTTTGTTGGTAGGTACATAAGTAAGTATAGGCTAATTATCCTTATACATGTTGTTAGACGTGGATTTGGGTACTGTAATCAGTGCTTATCTGACTACTTAAAATGAAGTATGATCACTGACAAAATTAATGATGATTTTGTGCATCCCCATTTCAAAAATGTAGAAGAAATACATTTATTTTATCCTAGATTTTACCGCATTTACCAAATTATGAAAGTAATGAACTATTTTACATGCACTACATTTTAGGTCAAAACAACTAATCATACAATATAGGTGGGGTTATAAAAGCAATTTGAAATTAATTAGTGAAAAATGAAATGTTAAAATTGTATGAACTTACAGTTTAGATAAATCGCAAGCCATAGTTTCAAGAAGGAGTGTGCAGTCACTATTAAGAGTCATCTTCTGGATAGCCAACACCTAAAGAATTCAGCATTACCAACAGGCACCACAAACATACCACATTTGTTTGATTAACGTATTCTGTTAGATTGAAACTGCATATACACACCACTCGCAGTATCATGTTAATATTGGAAAGTATATTGCTACCTGTCGTGAAATTCTTTCCAAGCAACGCAATGGTCGTCCATTAGTGAATTCAATAACTTCACTCGCTGAGATTTCGCATACATGTGAACACCGTTTAAGGAACCCATAATGGAAAAGGGTAACTACAAAAAAAAGTGTAGTTAACCTCAGGATTGATAAAGTTGGTTAAGACATACTGATTCCGTGCTTCCCTTTTTTCTAGTAAAAACTGGAAGACCAGCATTAGAAGTAATGCATAACAAATGTGCAGACATGATTCTTGTAGGGCACAAATTTAATACACAAGTATCAGGACAAGTTTTGGGTATGAAAAGTAAGGTTAAGTATAGAATATTATGGCATTTGAACTACATCATATCTTACGGTTGAACTAATTTGCGTTACTTTATCTACTTGAGGACATTTTACCTACAGTTGCCAATTAAATTATATTCAGGTATAATGCACTTACGCACCTCATTAATTATATTGAATGTTTATGTTAAATTGACCGTTTAATAGGTGCATTAATAGGCAGTGTTTGATACGGGAAGTTTACTCTACCAAAGGGTAATCAACGTTTTTTTAAATGATTTAAGATTATTGGAAGTGACTATTTCTTATTAATTAAAATTTAAAATATGTTTTGGTTTGTCGTATTTGTTGTATGACGTATTTTCCGCCTAGCTGTGACTACCGCGGTATACCTACGTTTAGAAAAATAATTTTTATTTCATTTCCGTTAATTTATAAGGGGGAATTATTGTTTCGCTTTCCTGCATCTAACTGTCTATAGATACCGCAAATTAAGTGGTGTTTTGTTTTGTCGTGCACTTAATTCTGATTTTAGCTCGTGTTGCTGTGACCGATTGCTAACAGCTCCACGAGCCCGGGAATTTTTTCGTTTCTCTGGCGGAGTTTTACCGGTGGCATAACTGATCTGTCCACTACCGCCGATCTTGATGCTGAAATCCCTCTGGTGGCGCTCGAGATCTTCCGATTGTCTATTGGCTATTCCATCGACATCGCATAGTAGTGCCGCCGCACGCCGCTTGTGTGAACAATGGCATTATCTTTCTTTGATAATTAAACTGTATTTTAATTGCACAAATTACTCGTTTAATTTTCAAGTCGCCAAACACACAAGTCCCCTATGTGCAATTCTTAAATACACAGGTCAATGCATTGATATGCCCGACAGTTATGCAACCCATCTTACACACAAATTTGACAGCAGTGTTTGTTTAGCAGATTCGGCTATTAACTGTGAAACCGTCTTTAAAGTACTGTTCTCAGTTACTGGAATTTTAATCATTTGCTGTGAATTGTCGAATTCAATAGGGGCATGTGTGAAATTTCAAATTCTCTCTGGCTAAATTAGGAACAGTGATCTAATTGGATTTTCTTCTTACGTAAGCTAACATATTTAATTTTATTTCTTTTTCTGGTATGATGTTCATTAACAATTCAACCATCAACACCGAATTTGCTTATCCGATATTTAGAGGAGCAAATAGATCCTATGATTATTGAAATACATCTATAACATTTCCATTTCTTCTTCTTTTGTATATTTTAAGAATAGAATTAATAATCTTAATTTAAGAAATAATTCAGATATGGACGTTTATTGAAAAACATTTGAAAAAATGGAAGTAGGTAGGTAAGATTGGTTGCATATCTTAAGGGGTATGTATGTTCATGTTCAGAGTTACAATTTACGCACTGTATAGGGTATATTATCATAGTGTAAAGTTATATTACACTATGATATTATATGCCCAACAATAGTGCGCTGGTTTGAGAGGGCATCCCTACATTTATTTGCCTGTCCAAAACCCTCCTACTCTTACTCTACATTTTATTTCTTCGCATTGCTCCTTAACTGTGTTCTTTAATTTGCTGTCTTTGTTTCTTTTTTTCATAATTCTCCATACCTTTCCGCTTACCACCCATCAGAGTCCGCTTTATTTCGAAATGCCTAATAGCTATAACTTACCCTACTTTGGGAAAGAGATTCTATAATTTTAATCTGTGCGACACGTTAAATGAAATGCGTATAATATAAGCGGATTTGTAACCGCAAAGTATTTAATTTAACGTTGATACCATGTATCTTCCTACGCTTTAAATAATTTATTAGCTAATTACCATAATTATTTCCCAATTTGAAAACGGAAATAATTTTAAAAGTTCCGCAAGCTCAAATGCAGTACGTATGTAGGTAATAAAAAAATTAGACATGGCTAATAAAATTACTTTAAATCTTTTTTTCCTTCTAGAAAGTCGTCACGAACTGCTTTAGTATTAGTAGATGACTCGCATGTGTTGATTAACTTTAATTACACGCTGTAGTACAAAATAATTAAAGTGTATTTTTGGAAGGTTTAAATCGGCAAAGAAACTTACGGGTTTCTAAAATTTGGACCTATTTAATACTAAAAGCCATCAGTCCCAGCTACACTAGGTCAAACTTCGTTACTTCGCTGTTGGTCTTCAGCGGCAACTGCTAGAAACAAAACTCGACAGTCTGAAAGGTTGCATGATGAGCTGCATTTACACACCATTTTTCAGCGAATAAGCCTTTTATTGCTATAACTTCAAACTTGCCTGACAACAGTGCACCTTCTTGTAAACCAAATTCGTTTTTATGCTATAAATTGAAAATTCTAATAACGTTTATAGTACATAGGTCAAGGCTACACAGAATTCCGTTCCAATAACAGAAAAAAAAACTGAACGTGACAATGAAATTCCATCATAAAGTGAAGTTAGGAAGCACCTCGGGAAGCACAAATGTGCAATTTTGTTAGGGATTCCTTAATTATGTTAAGTTCAAATTCATCATAGGAGTACTTCAACGTAATTGCTTTTCATTTAACACCCATTAATTGAATTGAACACAGACTAATTTGCACGAAACCTACGGATTCGAAAGAAATGCATAAATACATCCATTCGTACACAAAAAAACCTCTATTACACTGTAAATTACACGGGGATATTCTCAAATCGATGAGCTCTCACCAACGTTTCTTCTGATAAGAGGTAGAAAGGCACCGTAAGAAATGAAGCAAGACACCTTTTCGATAAGTGGTTTCGAAACTACTCTCTTTCCCATCTTTTGGAACGACATTTTGGAACTATTGAACAAACAAGATTTTGCAGGACCCTAAAGTAGTTCTTGAATTTGCTGTGCGTGCAAGATACGAAAAAGTAGCTGAACAAATTTCAAATTCTGGCAAATACGTAAGTAGAAGACAGGCACTTTTTCCCCCCGGTGGGACACCTTGTCCTCCGAGTTGGGGTCACGACCTTGAACTTTTATCCAAGGTCGTGCCCTTGGACTTTTGTCCAAGGTCTTGCTCTTGTGCCTCTTTCTAGAGCAAGGTCATGGCCTTGAGTTTTAAACCAATGTCGTGGTCTTGGGATTGTCCTGGTTACGTGATCAGATCGTGGCCTAGGAGTTTCCCTGATTTTGTCACAAGTCGTGGACTTGGACTTTCCCCAACGAAAAAGTCATGCGCCGTGGGTTTGGTGAAGGGATTTCCCGGTTGCGTTTATGAATCAAGATCGTGGTCTTGGTTCAATAACTAAGGCGTGACCTTGTTTTTATAGTGCACTCTTATTGCAATCAGTGAGATGACCAAAACTAAGCTACTCTTAAAAAACATGTATAGTTCTTGTTTTTTCTTCGGAGTAAAACAAATAACTCAACTAAAAGTTGTAGATATCGGCTTCGGACAAAGTCTCGGTAACTTTAAAAACTAATTTACAAAGTAACGGCAGCAAATATTTCAAGTAACACAGCGAATCTGAAGGATACGATGTAATCAAACTAACAGTACACAAAAGTAATCGTCCACATAATTGGTTCTCGATATCGGCAAAATAAAATCTTCGGTAACGACAAAAAGTACGTAAAATCAGGTATATCAATTTACAAGAGTAATGTTCTCCAAAGTTTTTGTCAATACCTACTTGCGGTTACAATTCAGGAACAATTATCGAAGTGTAGATAAATAAAATCCATGCAAATAGGCCACAGGTAATGTTGGTATGATGTGATTTATTTCACTGGAATTTGCCGGTAAGGTAGAAACTCATATATAGCTCACTTGAATTGATAAAATGGCCGTGGAACGTCCCCAATGAATTTTCCTTACCTTTTCTTTACTTAAAATCAGGTATATCAGTGCGAATTACAAAAGTGATGTTCTCGAAACGGTTTTGTCAATCTTGCGGTTACAATTCAGGAACAATGATCGAAGTGTAGGTAAGCAAAATCCATGTGAGTAGGTAGGTTACAGGTCATGTTGGTATTATGTGATTAATTTCACTGGAATCTGCCGGTAAGGTCGAAACTCATCTATAGCCCACTTGAATTGATAAATGGCCGTGGAACGTCCCCAATGAATTTTCCTTGCGCAATATTGGGAAAATTCAGAATTCTGCGGTCGGCAGTCGAAAGCAAAAAAAAAGAGAAAAACTTCACTAAACGTATACAGTCACAATAAATCCCAAAATCCAGACAACAATCAAGGTAGCGTGTACGTTCTTCTACTAGTAATGTCGTTTTGTGTGCGCCGAAAAGAAGTAATGATAACTCTGCACGACCTCGGGCGGCAAAACAAAGAACTACTGTAAAAAGAAATCTATATCAGCGAAAGGTAATGAGAAGTCTACTACAGAAATTAACTTACATCTTAAACTAGTGGATTACAAGGTAAACTTATATGGCGTAAGAATTTGAATAAGAGTACAAATAAAATAAAAGCGAAACTATAATCAGGAATATCAACCGGGAAAAAAATAGCGTTACTTTGCATAATCAAATGACCTTGGAAATAACTACAAGTAACTAAAAGGTGACCTTGTTTCATGGTATAAGGTCGAGCCCGAAAATTTCCCTGGCGAAAAAAACTGTGGTCACAGTACCAGTATGATTCTTATTTCAATTATTTTTGGTTAAATATAAAGAAAACAAGCCCAAGGCCATGACCCCAAACCGTATAGACAAGGTGGGAAGGGAGGGGGAGGTGCCTCAGTTCTACTTACGCACAATCACGCACCAGAAAGATAAGTGTGAAGTGTAATCCGCTCGATTACATGAAAATTACGTAAGAATTAAATCTCTAACCAAGAGAGCCTTGGCTCAATCTGTACCTTTGGCAGACATTACACAAAAACTCTTCGTGTGAGATCGAAGGGGCATATTTTTATGAGGCAGATCAGTATTCTACTAGCGAATTATACTGCAAAATGAAAGTCGCAAAGATAGTTTATCAAATATTTTTTTATTTATTTAGCGGAAAATTCAAATATACTCAATGACGCTGTTACTGGTACAAATTC